GGTGGCGGCGTGGCGCCGCCTGCCGCCGCCCAGGCGGCCGGCCAAGGGCCAGGGGTGGTCAGCGGCGCGGTGGCGTCCGGTGAGCTGCAATGGATCTGGTAGCCCCCTCCCTCCTCCCCTCCCTCCTCCCCCTCCCGGAGAGCCGCATGCAAATTGCTTGTAATTGTGTGCTCGGGTTGCACCCCCGCCCCCCCATAGCTAGGCCCGCCCCCGGATGGCCGGCCGCCGGCCGTTACTTACCGTACATAGTTTGTTTTCTGGCGCCAGAAATAACCCCGGGGCACCTGTGTACTCCGGCCCCGCCCCACCCCGCCCCGCCCCGCCCTTGACTGCGACCGGGCCTGATTGGCGCCCGGCGGCCCGGCCCAGGCCCCGCAGTGTTGTTGTTGGTCCGAACATCAAAGGCTCGTCAGGGTCGGGCCACGGGCTTTGTGCCTCGGCCCGCGCGCCCAGGAGTTGACCCGTGTATTCCTTGGAGGCCCATAGCCTTCTTACACAACGCGCGCGCGCGGGCGGAGAAGTATTTTGGACTTTTATGGAGTCGCGCGGGCCGGCGGCGCTTGATGGCCGGCGAGCGTCAAATGACGGCGTCAAAAGAAAATCGACGAATGGAAGGAGTTTAGGTGGTAGCGCTGCCGGTGGAAAATGGTGTTGGTGTTACCATAGCATACACCCCCAAAATAAGTATTAGCCTTCTTGAGCATGTTAGATTGGCTGGATCGCTCTAGCCTCGGGTTGGACGTTAACTTCCCGAGGCTCATGCAAACAGCCGTGACGTATTATTAGGCCTACTTGAGGAAACTTACACAACACTGATTTCTGTGATTTCGAGCTACTTCCCAGACAGGAGCGGCTTTTCTCCTAATCATGATTACTAAAACATTTTTTTCTAACCAAAACAAAAAAAAAAAAAATATTTCAACGCTTTGCTGTGACCCTTTTTCGTCCCCTCGCCTCGTCAGCCCCTATATACCCGCCAAGTTCCCGCACCGTCCCTGGCTGGACGAGTATATTTCTGTGAGGATGATGTCGTCTAAGCCCTTGATGACTGTGGCGGAGCTATTCAGCGGCCCAGCGGGCGGACGGGACGGCTCGGCTCGGCTCGGCTCGGCCCGGCCCGCCTGTCGCGCCAGAACCGGAGAGGACGGCACGTGAGCCGGGAAGTGAAAAAGGAAAACGCGTCGCGCAGAAAAATTAATGCATAGCGAAAAGAGAATAAAGAAAAGATTCATCGTTATTAAGTGAAAAACCTGTGGGTGTGGGTAGGCCTACTGTCCCCTCCCTCGATTTCTCTTTCTCTTGCTTAAGAACACTCACAAGAGAGAGAGAGAGAGAGAGGGGGGGGGGCGGCTTTGGAGACCCAGACGCACCATAGGGAACGTGGCGGGGCGCAGCTTGACAAGGCTATATGGTGTGCTACATTGTCACTCCGTGTGAGATTGAGATGGGGGTAGAGCTGGAGCAGGGACTTTTGAGGGGAGAGAGGGGGAGAAAGAGGGGCGGGCAACTTGGAGGGCAGAAGGAAGGAAGGTAGACTAGCCGTAGGTCAAGGCGTCATCCTCTCGTCTATTTTTCGCTCTCCGCCTCCCATGCCCTCTCCCCTTCCTTTCTCACTGTCTCCCGCCGGCCGTTTCCTCTGCACTTCCGTTCTATCTGCGTTGCCGGGCCACTGAACAGCTTGCCTGTCGCGCTGCATTGTCTGTCCCGGGCGGATAACGTTGCAGAAGAGGGCCCCGCATGGAACATGGTACTAAACAGCACCGACCGCAGGGGGACGACTCTCTGCTCTGCCACCAACAGAAACATGTAATATAAGGAAGCCACGCACAGGGTATGGTCATTCCCTCCGGGCAGCAGCGGCAGCCATCTCTGGGGAGGTTTAATGGAACACCCGCCGAGCGCCTCCTGCTGGGAAGCCAGCCCAGAGACTGGCCGGGGGGAGGAGAGGGGCCGAAGAGGAAGAGAGATGTCTCTCTGATGATGCTGTAATCCCTCGGTCCGCCCGCCCGGGCGGTGCCACGGCGCGTTCTCCTCCTGGACCGCCGCGGCGGGCTCTGGTCGCCGCCAGCGGCCTGGCCTGGCCCAATTTCGAGCTTGTGTGTGTGTACGGAGGGGATCAAAAGAAGGAAAGTGATGGGGCTCAGGACGCCGCCGCCACCACCGCCGCCGGCCGCGGTACTCCGTCCCTCCCCCTCTCCCCCGGGGGTACGCCCACGGGTGAGTAAAGCCCACCCCGCCCCCCGTGCATCGAACACCGCCCCTGATGGCTTGTGTAGCGTACCTCTGCGGATCGATATATCCGGTGTGGGTCGAGGCGTTCCCAGGCCCAGCAGCAAGGGCGTGGCGCGGTGAGGAGGCCCCTCAGGCCGCATTCCGGGGAAGACTTCCATTACGCGTGATGCGAGTCGGTGTTGGGGGCGCCCGCACCCTCCTCCAGGTAGGCCTCCAGGAGGCGGCCCTCCAGCCCGAGAGGTAGGCATTCCCGGCGGACTTGCGAGAGCGGCGGGTCTGCCTACCCACTGTTCGGCGGGCGCTCCGACTGCCGCGCGCGGCCAGTGCGGAGGCGGTCGGGGCGTTCCAGGGGCCACAACTGTAAAATCCAGGGTGTCCAGCAGGAGGTAGGCGACAATGGCACAATGGGTGGAATGCCTATTGACTCACATACAGTGCAATAAGCCGGAAGACCGGCAGAAGGTGTCCAGCTAGTCGATGTAAGTCGCCTAGTTTTGGAGGCTATGCGACTTTGTCGCCTACCTTTTTGGACATCCCGGATTTGCAGTGAACAGTGCGGTACAGTGTCCCGGGCTGAGACTACGGCGCACTACTCTAGTTGCACTCCCGGATACACACAAAAATCTTGTGAACTTTTTTTTTGTCAGTGCCGGTGGTGGTGCCGCGTTCCAGGGGCTGCCTGCCGTGTCTCCCCGAGGATGCCCTCGGGCCGCCCCACCAGCCCCACCGCCGACTGTGGCGTGTCGGCGCGTCATTGTGGGCCCTCCCTCCCTCACTTCACCTGCCCCCACCCCCGCAACCGCGTCAGGCCCGAGGTGATGGTTGAGAACTAAACTACTGCCAATGCCGAGCAGCCGAAGCGCCACAGATGGCGGGGCGTGGCGCCGTGTTGCGGCCCATCAATACTTGATTGCGGCTGCGAAGGGCGTTTCAGGGAGTTTCACAGGCTGTGTGGCTCTCCCTTGCTTGCCGTGGGAGACAAGAGCGTAGGTTACAGTGTAGGCAGCACACCCAGAGGACCGTAACTTTGAATTAACGAAATCACAAACTGACGATATTCTCGTTGATTAGAAGAAAAAGTTTCTTTAGCTCAAACAAAATTTGTTCAATCTGACAAAACTATCGTTCTGTAAAAGAAATTTTTTCGTTGTATGAACGAAAAAGTTTTCTTTGCTTTCTGGCACGAAATTTTAGTCGAATTAAATAAAATTTCTTTAATTTAAAGAAACGATTTTCTGGGTGCAGTGGCAGCAGCCCCGGCAGTGGCAGCAGCAGCAGCGCGTACCAGCATATTGCTCGCCGCGCTTGCCCTTATTTACTCGTTGCCGTCCCACCAGCAGTCAGTATGGAAGTGATCCCCATCATTCCACCAAACAGCGTGCGCGCATTTCAATTCAGAGCATCATAAGTCCTCGTGGAATGTCCGTGAATGGCGAGTTCAATCACTCCCGCCCACGTGTCTGGCCGCGAGGCTCTATGCCCCCGGCTCTGCCCGGCGCTCTGCCCAATCATTAGCCCCCTCCTCTCTGTTGTTGCCCGGCAGCACCGAGTCCCCCGGGGAGGCGAGCGGGAGCAGCGCGTCCGCAAACATGTTGTTTGAGCAGAGCTCACCGAGGAGGCGCCGAGACAGAGTGTATCGTCGTTACACACGCAGCCATGTCGTAAACCTCGCCTTGGTTTACACTTGGCCCGGGGCGACGGGACGGCCGAGCCGGAGCCGGAGCGGCGGGAGCACAGAGGGATCGCGAGAGGGTCGCGCGCCCCGCCGCTCACCCCGCTCTCTCTCTCTCTCTCTCCCCGTCAGAAGAATGGAATCTCTACAAGCAGGATGATGAGTAAAGAGCGGGAGCTTTGCGTCGCGCGCGTGCCAGCCCGGACGGCCCGGACCCGAGGCCGGCTAGTGGGGACCATTATTGCCTCGACAACAAGATGCCATCGTTTGCCTCTCCCCTCGAAATCCGTCTCTCTCTCTCTCTCTCTC